TTGGAACAATTTGTACAAAATATTTAAATTATTAATTTGAATATAACATTACAGGGTCAACTTAAATATAACTTTTAGTTTAACTTAAACAACCCACATAATATTTTGTAAATAGTTAAAAGTGATTAATTGTAGTGTATTTCTAATAATAATTATAAGTTTGTTAATAAGGTTAAATAAATATCAAACCTAAAGTGTAATCATAAATAAACTAAATTTCAATATTAAAATAATATCTTTACTTCTACTTATAAAGTTATGTCTTTAACTTTTAACATATTATACTTAATTTATTATATTTAATATGTTGATATATGTAAACCGTTATGAGTTTAAAGCTACAACATTTGAACAGTTTTAACAAAATACTTAAATTGTTAATTTAAATATAACATTACAGTGTCAACTTAAATATAAATTTCAGTTCCACTTAAAAAACCCAAAGAATATTTTGTGAATAGCTAAAAGTGATAAATTGTAGTGCTAAATGCAAAAAATAAATTGTAATCTTAATTTAAGTAAAATATTTCCTAAAGATATTTTTATAATAGCTAAAAGTTTTAAAATAAGTAACTTAAAATAATTTACAATAATAATAGTTAAAAATAACTCTATATAAATGATTATATTGTTACATTTAAAATAAAAAAAACAATGTTTGATGTTTTAAATAATTACAATGAGAGAAATTAAAACGTTAAACAAATAAATTTTAAAAAAGTAATTAACAATAACAACAACTATAAATAACATTAAACCATATATTATATTTAATTTTATTCATGAGTAACCTGTGGGTAGAAGTCATTCAAATGATTGAGATTATGCGATTTTAATAGATGTATATATTATCATATAATTCATAATAATCAATATATTATATCAACTTAGTATACGAATTATTATATCAAATATATTATATCAACTTAGTATACGAATTATTATATCAAATTTAACAACATTATTGTTATATTTAAAAAACATATCTTTGTAAAGATTTCAACTATACATGTGTTTCTGCGCAACGCGCGGACATTTGTCTAGTATTAGATATATAAAGAATTAAAGGAGTTAAAACATATTAATTGTCTTAGCTCTTGTTGGTACTTTCGTTTCATCGAAGGAGAGGCGTAGGTTCGAAACAACCTCTTTATATTTTCTTTTAAAAAATCCAATATTTCCTTTGTAAGGAAGAAGCTGACGTGACATGTTATATCACATGTCAGGCTGCCACGTCAGACCACATGGTTAGGCCGCATGGATAAGTAACCTGCTAAACAAGTCATAAATGGCCAAAAAATCTAATATTCTACGTAGTCTACATGGACAAGTGATATGCTGAACAGGTCGTAAAGGGCTAAATTGTAAACAGTAGCCGGTTGTCTGAGTTTTTTTATTCAAAAAAATTTTAGGAATTTTTGAAATTTTTTCTGGGATTTTTCTATAAATTTCTGTTTAGGGTTTATTTGAAGTTTGAATTTGAATGTGGTGCTTTTATTTTGGTGTTGGCACTTATTTTTTGTTGTTGTATGTGGTAATCCTTTTGCTGTGTATTGGAACTTATTGACGGGGGTGTTTTGGCAAGGCGGTCGGAAGCGACCGACGTAATCAGGCAATCCAATTTGGGGGAAAAACTTCTTTCATCCACTCATTCAACCCCGTCGCGTCCAATCTGAACGGGGTTCATCTCTACAGTACATACAACTAGAGGATCCCCAATTTGGTAATTAATATGATAAAAATGACGTCAACAGGTACTTTGAAACCCTACTGGAAGAACTGGAGTCCTATAATTGGGTGCTTTACTTTGCAGAAATCACAAAATCAAAATTTGGAGGTTTCAATATCATTGGGTCCATTCAACGCCAGATGGCCAGAGTTCTAATGCTTGAATGTTGATCTTGACTTTGAAACCTTCAAATTACTTCAAGTACACCACCATTCGCTTCTGTTTGCTACATAATTTCAATCAATTACAATTACTTTCTTACATTTGCAAGAGATATGACACTTAGATCAACAAAAGAATTAGTGTAATTGTTTGGGTTTGTTAGTTGTTGTGATTATCCAACCTACAGACATGTTTGATTTTTCTGGTAATGGATCAAACGAAATGATTAAAGAAACCAAGCACTGGTTTTTTTCAATTATTAAACTTTATCGTCTCCATTTTTTTTTTCTGTTTCTGTCCTGGTGATTGAGGAAGCTTCACCATTTCAGGTGCTTTTATATATTGAATTTTGTTTTACTATATTTCTATTTCAGTTTTATATCTTGTATTCTGATTTATTACATAATCTAGGGTTTATAATTTGTAGATATATCTATTTTGTCCTTGATATTCCACTTGATAAAAAATTGATATGTTCTTTTGTTAGTAATTAGTTACAAAGTTCATTGGAGTAAGCGATTAGAGTACTGAGAATTTTAGAGGGGTAGTATATTCGGTGTGTTTAAGTTATTATTTTGAACTTTGTCGCTAAATTTGAGTAGTTATTGAAAGGCATCTTATAGAATTTATTGGCAATATTGTAGGTTTAGTAAGTTATTTGTGTGCTTATAATAGGAATTCAGAGATTGGCATGCTTTGGGGGAATGATTTTTGCTGTTATTATACTGCTCCAATATTTTGAATTTCCATGTGCTGATGTTATATTATCTTTGTTTTCTGCTACCAAGATTCACATAAATGGTGAAATCAGGTGATATCAAGGCTGTTTTATCACTTTATGTAATCAGGTGATATCAAGGTTGATTTACTCATTAACAAACTTATGAGTCTCAGTTTCAACATCAAATGGAGCAACATCAAATACTGGAACAACAACAACAACAACATAGTAGTAGTAACTGCTACAAAGTCTATACAAAGCACAGATACCAATAAGGGTTAATCCTGGAATCACTGATTCCAATTTCTTATGCTCTGCTTCATTCTAATCATAACATGCAATGGTATTTCAGTCAAATGCATAATTAGCAAACATTCGATTTGTATATTTGTAAATTTGGCATCTTGGTGAAACTTGGAAAATAACATAATGGACCGCTGACCTATAATATAAACCTAAGAAGTTTTTAACCAGCAACAAAAACACAAATCTAAACCCTCCAACTCATGCAAACCATGGGAAACTTTTCTTGTTTGGATTAAAGGCAAAAGTAAAGATTAGAGTAAATTACACGAATCGTCCATCGTGCATTGCACATGTCAAAATGCACGTTCAATCCCTATTTTCAAAAATTAACTCGGACCGTACCTAATAAGTTTAAAAATTGGACGTTTCATCCCTAATTTCATTAATCAGACCTAAAAAGACAAATATACCCTTATCTATTATTTTGATTTATTTTTAGTTTGTTTATATTTTGTACAATCGGTTTTGGGCAAATTTGTTTATATGATTTTTGGCAGATTTGGGTTACCTACTCTTCCACATGCAAACCGTAAATCGCAGCCTCTCTAAACTGTAGACAAATGAAAACCAACGATGGATTTTTTTTTTCTGGATTTACATAAACGAAAAACAGTTAATAGATTTTTGAGATTGTTCTGAAATTAATGGGTTTGTTCTTTAGGTTTTTCAGAAAATTATAGATTGTTGGGATTTTTATGGGTTTTGTTGAATTTTTTCTTGGATTGGACATTTAAAGTGTTAATTTACATATTTTCAATCATTGGGCTGTTCTCTTCGTCTCCGATGGTGAGGGTATCAGTGGAGGTGCTTTCAGAGGCGGTGGTAGGTGGACGGAGATGGTTTCCGGTGAGTAAAGATGATTGGAGATGAAGCAACGGGAGATGAAGGTTCATATTTCTTGTTTCCAGATTTAAGGGATTGGATGGGGAGTGGTATAGGCGGTGGGTTTTTCTTTTTCTTTATAATATAATTAGAAAAACAAACTATAAGTAAATAAAAAAAATTAATAAGGGTAAAATAGTCATTTTATATCGGTGAGGGTTGATCTGAGTGAAATTTTAATAGTACAGGGACAGTTCGAGTTAATTTTTGAAAATAGAGACTAAACGTGAATTTTGACATTTGGACAAGAGCCGATTCGTGTAATTTACTCTAATGATTATGTGGTATCTAAAAATGTGGATATGACATAGATGTTATTTATTTATTTATTTTATTTAATGTACTTAACATTGAACAAAACTTAACCCAAAGTTATATATAATTATGTCTATTTTACTTAATATTGAGAGGAACGGTGGGTTTATCAATTAAGACATTAGCTTTTACCTCCACTACCCTTTAGCATAAATTACATTTTTTTTTTTTCTAAAAAACCGTAAGCTTCATCTTCTCCACTGTGTAAATTATAGAGATCAGTGATATTTCATAAACACATGTAAAAAATGTTTTTGCATGCATTATAGAGATCAAAGCTTCATCGTCTCGAGGTGTGATTCTTTCTGTTCCAACAAGCTTTTGTTTTTTCGTTTGATAACACAGTGTAATATACATGTCATTTCATTTCTTTTTTGTTATTATATGTGGTTTTAGGTTTTTATATTTAGTTTTATTAATGTCATACATCTTTAATTTTAATATTCTTTTTTTAGTTTTAATGACGTTACATATTTTTGCTTTTATGTTTTTTGTTTTTTATTCTCAGCTTACTTTTAATTATTTTTATGATGATTTCAATTTATATTGTTTCGTAAATAAGAAATAATCTCCCACACATCATTTTTAAATAAAAAGGTAGCATATTAATCTTTTTTATATTCAACATGTTTATTCAATTTAAAAATGAAACATGCTCTAGATATAAATTAGTTATTCCAAAAAATACTATACGTTTATTTGTTGGCCAATTAAAAACATTTTGAAAAGTTTAATTCCAAAATTTAGTAATAACATGGGCCTACTAAAAATTGGTTCAGTGAAGCTCAAAGATACTAGAATCTGTTTGCATCTAGGAAGACACCATATCTTTTTTCACGCGTATATGGACATTTAAGTTTGCCTTTTTTTCTTAGTTTGATTGATCTGATTCGGCGTGGAAACTTGAAAGTTTCCTATTTGTTTCACAGAAAATATATAGTATAATATACCTATTGATAGAGACTGCTTTTTTGGACAACCAATGTCACTATTAGACTCCAAAAAGAATTAAATACAAATATCTCATATGAGGTACGCTGACTATATAGCTTTTTAAATGAGTAATATATAGAACAACCATTCCAATTTTAATTACTAGTATTTTGCCTAAATATGGAATCTGAATCATCCTCCTTACAATGGCCACAACCTTGCCGCCACTTTAAATTTCCTGAAATCCGATTAGCAACCAGAAACTTCGATGAATCACTGGTTATTGGGCATGGTGGATTCGGAAAAGTTTACAAAGCTACCATTCACAATGGATCAAGTCTTGTTGTTGCTGCCATTAAACGACTGGATTCCAAGTCCGATCAAGGAGCTGATGAGTTTTGGGCCGAAGTGAAGATGCTTTCCAAGTTACGCCACTGTCACTTAGTATCTTTGATTGGTTATTGCGATGATGGGAAAGAAATGATCCTTGTCTACGAATATATGCCTCATGGATCACTTGAAGATCATCTCCACAAACATTCTACTCATCTTTCATGGCTTCAGAGGCTCAAACTCTGCATCGGTGCTGCTCGCGGGTTAGATTACCTCCACACGGGTACAGGCATCGAGTTTGGAGTCATTCATCGTGATGTGAAGAGTGCAAATATTTTGTTGCATGAAAGTTGGGCTGCTAAAATAGCCGACTTTGGGTTGTCCAAGATAGGCCCAAAGGATCAGCCTTTGAGTCATGTATTGACTCTTGTGAAAGGAACTTTCGGGTATCTAGATCCAGATTACTTCTTAACTGGAAGGTTAACAAGAAAGTCCGATGTTTATGCTTTTGGGGTGGTTTTGTTTGAAGTGTTGTGTCGGAAACGTGCATTGGATGTAAGTCGTGATAAGGAGGAGCATCACAGTTTAGCAAGATGGGTAGAAGATTGTATCAAAGAAGGCACTTTGAAGCATTTGATTGATTCTGATATAAGGGATCAAATATTACCAAAATGTTTGAAGGGGTTTGTTCGTATTGCAGAGCGTTGTTTGCATAGCCATGGAAAACATCGTCCAACAATGGCTGAAGTTGTGGTTAGTCTTGAGTCTGTTTTGGCCTTACAAGAGAAAAACGATAATTCATTGCAATCTGGGAGTAGAACAATACTTGGTAGAATGGTTGATATGTTACCATTTGCATATAATGCAGAGAATTCAGGTATTCCACTATTTCACATTCATCATGAATTCATATACTGTATAACTTTTTTATATAATCTACTTTTACTGTATGTTGTTAGGTTGGGTAGACAAGAACACTTTTGGCCCTTCAACCCCTGGTGTTGAAATTGCTGTTACTGTTAAAAAAACACGCCAATTAGAAAGCTTTCAAGGACATGATGAATGGTTGGTAAGCATCAAAAAGGGTATAATCAAATCTATACAAGAAGAATTTAAGACATTGTTTCTAATCTTCTACTTTGATACGATGTTGCATGCATGCAGGGATCTAGAGCAGTAGATTGTTTCACAGAATATGGTGAATGGAGTAGGTATAAACTAGAGGAGGTGATAGGTACAGGAAGTTCAGGTGTTGTGTGTTCAGCATTTGATACTTTTGTTGGAGAAAAAGTAGCTATAAAAAAGATAAACGACATTTTTGAACAAGGTTTTGTTGCAACTCGTATCCTTCGTGAGATTCTGCTTCTTAGGCTCCTTCGACATCCAGACATTGTGGAAATAAAACACATCTTATTGCCTCCTTCCAGAAGAGAATTCAGTGATATATATGTTGTGTGTTTGAGCTTATGGAATCCGATTTACACCAGGTAATCAAAGCAAACGAAAAGTTAACACCAGAACAATGTCGCTTCTTTCTCTATCAGCTTCTTCGAGGATTGAAATACATGCACTCAGGTTATTAATTATAACCTATCATCATCATTTTATCATTAATTACCATACTTGTGCTTACCTTTTATATTCTTTTCAACTTTCTCCATTCTCATTGTGAATGAATTGCTTTCAGCAAATGTGTTTCATAGAGATCTAAAACCGAAAAATATTTTGGTGAATGCTGATTGCAAGCTCAAGATATGTGACTTTGGTATTGCAAGAGTTGTCTTCAATGATACACCTACTGCAGTATGCTGGACAGTATGTCACTAACACTAACTTACTTAGAGTAATTTAAAAATGATTGAAGAAAATACTTTTCCAAATCTCTTGCATTTGATATGTGTAGGATTATGTTGCAACAAGATGGTATAGAGCTCCTGAATTGTGTGGATCTTTTTTCTCTAAGGTGAAATTTATACTATTAGTATTACTCTAATTAACACCAATCTCAAATCACACATATATCCTTCAAAAGTAGGAATTCTTAGTATTAACTTTATCCTTTTGACTTTTTGTATGTGTAGTACACACAGGCTATAGACACATGGAGCATTGGTTGTATTTTTGCAGAACTTTTAACTGGAAAGCCTCTCTTCCCAGGGAAAAGTGTGTTTCATCAGTTGGATCTGATGACTGATCTTTTGGGAACACCATCAACCGAAGCTATATCCAGAGTCTGTGTCTATAATATGAATATCTGTACTTCATTTTATTATATATACATCAACATTAATATTGATATAACACAATCAGATACGACATGAGAAGGCAATGAAATACTTAAGCAAAATGAGGGAAGAAGAAGCCGATTCCCTTCTCCAGAAAGTTTCCAAATGCAGATCCACTTGCTCTTCGATTATTAGAAAGAATGCTTGCTTTTGATCCTAACAATCGTCCTACCGCTGAGGAGGTGCGAATTGAATACTATCTTATCAACATTCTTTTATCGTTAATTTCCTTATTGAGAAACATGTTTTGATCTTTTGTCTCAGGCTCTTTCGGATCCATATTTTAAGAATTTGGGTAAAGTTGAGAGGGAGTCTTCTTCTCGACCTATCACAAAGAGGGAATTCGAGTTTGAAAAAAGAAGACTTAGTACAGAAGAATTACGAGAACGTATCTACAAGGAGATTCTTGAATATCATCCCAATATGTTGAAGGATGGAAGCCAACAACCAGGCTTCATGTATCCAAGGTATGTATATATATATAGCTTTATCATTGTTGTATGTATTCTGTTGACTTACGTTGACCTCATTGGTTCATAGTGCTTTTGACAAATTCAAGAAGCAATTTTCTGATAAGGAGGAGCATTACAGCAAGGGTAAAGTTGCTGCTCCCCTACTGAGACGCCAGTCCTTATCTTTGCCAAGGTAGTTTAATTTATATCTTGGATGATAAATTAGATAACCAGTCCATATATATGGTAGATTTATTGTTGTTAATCAAGTTATGTTTTTTGGGTGTTAGGGCTTCCATTTTATACCCAAAAGAGACTACACAAACTAGTTCAATCAAAGAATACAAGACACAATGCATGACTTCTGAGATGCCAAATGCCATACCACTTCTACAATTTCCTCAAAGTATTCAAGGTTTGATGAATTCAGTGAATGAGATTATATTTGTATTATTCTTAAGTCATTGGTTTTAGTGATAGCTTTGCTAGTAGGTGGGAGGTGATTCTTGGTGTTAACTCTTGTTGTAAAAGTATACAAGGAAGAACCCCTTAAAAGTCATATATTTAAGCTTACAAATAAGTTGTAGTTTTTATTTTTAACTTATTTGAGCTTTAAGTTTGACTCAACTTTGTTGAGTTAAGTGGAACTATATCAGGTTTGAGTTTACTCGGTAACCCATTTATGTATGGGATAGATGCAAAAAAATAGCAACATACTTTTATTTATTTGTTTATTATATATAGCATTATACTTTCATTTCTTTCTATTAAACCATTGCACTTCCAGTTTTTTTCTTATTAAAAAAGTCCACCCAGTTATAGCATTGTACTTTCAGAGAAATTTTTATTAAGACATTGTGCTTTGAAAAATCTACCCAATTATAACAACAAAAAATTCTTCCTATTTGGTTGATATTGCTATAATTGGGTATATTATTTCTTGCAATTAGCCCTACAACAACCACCATGATGTAAACAAGGTTTTATAGAATCGGACAAATGTTAGTTATAATAAAGGTAGCAAATTTCACATAAGAAATACTAAAGATGCATGAACTTGAATCACTTAAGATTTGGAATTTTTGATGAAGGTATACAGGGTGGTTGTACATGAAGCGTAGGGTGTTTGTACATTGATGGGTTCCTTGGTAATTTTACAATAATAAAAGAATAAACAAGAAAAAGAGGAGGAAATATAATAAAATATCTTGTAACCAAAAAAAAATTATATAGAACAAAAACTTGTAGATTACCCAAACCACAACGAGTTACTCTAAGGTCATCCGTTATACCCACCACTAACCACTATAGTGGTGAGTGCCACCTCATCACCACATTCAACCACTAAACCTATGGGATACACACCACTATATTCTTCTTATTTTTTTATTTTTAAATTAAAAAATATATATTTTTAAATTAATTAAAATGTAGACAGAGGTAGAGAGAAATAGAGAGACATGGAGAGAGAAAAAAATTATTGGATGTTGTTGTCCGTTCTCCCCACCACATTTGACCATGAATTTTTCCACCACTAAGGGTATGGGGTGGTGTTCACATTTTTTGTTCGTGGCCACATAGACCACGAACATGCTCGTTATGAGTATACCATAAGGCTTAATAATAATATAATAGTTATTGATGAAAATATAAAAAGGATAGCAAAATGGTCAATTTATAAGGGCTTAACAAAGTATAACTAACACCCACTATTCCTTCATCTGGGATCAAATCAAACTAGTAAAACAATGCAAAATCTGTTGTGTTCAATCTTACACTTTGATTCCATTCTTTGAACCCGTTATATCCCAAATCAATGATTAAAAATTTAGCAAGAATCAGATAATTTTACATTTGTTACAGTAATCAGTTACTCTATCTCAAAATGCATTCAATTTGATCATAAAAAAAATAAAAAATAAAAAAAAAACAAAGAGTTCAAAAAACAAAATATAAGCGCGCCAGGTAGGGGTCGAACCTACGACTTTCTGCTTAGGAAACAGACGCTCTATCCACTGAGCTACAGGCGCTTTTGTTTGTTTGTTGTACATAAAATTATATTAAGTAGTGATCCGAACCTCTGTTCCATTTTTCTTTTTCCGCCAGATAATAGGAAATGTAACTTTGAAATTTTTCGGACACTATCAGCTGCATCACGACTTGCTAAAGAATACGAGTCGAACGCCACAACAAAAACCTGCCATTCTCGTGCGATTGCTTGATTCTGAAGCTCAGAATTGTCGTTATAAAGGTGCGATTTCTTCCTTTTTTCCCATTTTCGTTTATTACTTTGAAACACCGTAGAAATGGGTTTCAATTTTGATCTTCTTTTTGCTATTTAGACGTTCATAATGTTTAAGATATTCGTTTTCGTATCATTCATCTGATTTTTCCTTCTTGTAAGCATCGTAATTAGGGTTTTGGTTTTGGTTTTGGCGGCCTTTTGTTTTTTTAAATGCCCCGCCGATTGTAAATTAGCATCGTAAGCTTTGTTAATTAGGTTTTTATTTTAGTAGGGGTTTGTTTTGGCTTTTAGGAGCTGATAATTGTAATTAGGTTACTTATTGCTGCTACTTTTTTTTTTTTTTTTTTTTTTTTTTTTTTTTTTTATACATACTGTTTGCGTTCTACTCGTGGTTCAGTCTTTTGCTACTACTACTTATCTGTTCGTGTGTTGTTGCTCATCTGCTCTTGATTTAATCTTATTGAGGGATTTACATTCTTATGGTTCTTTGATAGACATTTATTTAAGGGAAATTGAGAATGTGTGTTACTGATTTTGTGACAAGTGCATAGTAATTTGTATACTGATTTGAACATGAACAATCTCAACTACAAACTGAAGTGGAATCTCAGTTTTAACCTACAGTTGGATCTAAGTTGAATCAATGCAACATCTTTAGGACAAACAGTGAAGGAGTAACCTCTTAATAAGAAAACCAAATTACTTTTTTGAATCAGATTTTCTCAAGGCCATGGAGGATTCCATTACACAGTTCTGTGATGGTGTAGCTCGATTCTGCAACCACCTTGAATCCAGCTCAGCTGCCCTCCTCCAGTCTGTCAACCGCCGCTCAATCCCTTTCGGTAATTCTCTCTCTCACACACACACATGCTCCCTTTTGTTTATAAAAATTGTTACTTTATAGTTTATATCTAATCTTTTTTTGTTTTTTTTTTTACATTATTAGATTCTGCTTCATTGTCATTTGTGCAATGCCTAAACCGAAGAGTATCAACTGCCACCAGTGACCTCAACCTCCTTGAGTCCATGTCCTTTGACACTGTCTCATTTGAGGAGTTGCTTGGACACTGCAATGAGGTTTACAAAAACAATCAAAATCAAATTATTCAACTTGAGGATCACCTTTCTGCTTTTGGATATGTTCCTGGTATGCCATATTCTCCTATTAGTTTAATGGTTGAGAAATAGCAACGTATTCTACTCTCATTGCTAATATGGGCAATGTACTTTATTTTTTATAAATAATCTAGCACTATGTATGTAGAAGTGGAGATTGATGAACCAGAAGAGGACTTCATAGATTCACAACCAAATACTAATTTGGATTTCAAGAACACCATGGAAGATGATTCTTTGTATCCTTATAAGTTATAAATTTTTAATTAAATTTCATTGTTGTTCCAAAAAAAAGTTTCTCTTACAAAATAAGGACCAAATCTGATAAAGAAAACTTTTAGGAACCAAAATTGCGGAAATCAGACCATAAATGTAATTTACTCAAAATGTTTTAAATTTCTTACTTTTTAGTATGTAATTATGTGATATCATTACATTTCTTAACTTTTTACTTAGATTCGAAGATACACTGAGTTTGCAGAATCTTGGGATTTCAAATGCTTCTCTTGCCACTATTGTATCTGAAGGTTAAGATCTCAATGATTTTCTTGAATTTTTATTTTCAAGGCCATGAAAAATTAATTAAACTTTGTCAATATCATCTTTAACTGCAGGTAACAAAAAGATTGAGATGGATGGATTATATGAGCCAGAAATAGATATCCCAGAAGTAGAAAGTAATTGCTATAATCAGCTCTCTTTTTTATTTATCTTTTTTTTTCTTATTTCTAACGTGACAAACACCTTTTTGTTTCCATTATGTGAAATAGAAGATGAACGAAATGAGTTGAAGCCATTTCAAGATTCTAAATCTTTAATATGTGTACCTAAAGATGCTTATGAAAGTCTTCCTTCATATATGAAAAGTTTAGCATCATGGGAGGTATATATTCATATTACAAATTTAGTGTTCATAATTTGATTGAGAAATTGAGATTAAAGATTTTGAAATTGTAATTTTTTAGGATTTGATTCATGCTGTTGAGAAGATGAACTTAAGTCTGGAAACCAAGAATGGAAACTTTTTCACTCAAGATGAAGTTTCATTACTGGAATTAGGTGAGTGTGACGGCTGACACATTCTTTCTTGTTTGACTTTTTTGTGCTAATTGAATTTGTTTTTGTTTTTAATTTTGGATTTGGTGTTTGTGAATGTATTTTTAGGGCATAAAACAAGATCGTATTTGCTGTTATTGGTGAAGATGAATTGCATAGTTGTGGAGACCATTGATGGGTTGATTTCTTATAGAGTGTTGTAGACACTACTCACTACGCAGGGGGGGAATTATAAATAATTTGTGTGTTAAAGAGTTGCTATAAATAAACAATATTTGTGACATTTTGAGTGTGTGTGTGTGAGAGAGAGAGAGAGAGAGAGAGAGAGAAGAGAGAGTACATGTTAAGAAGGTGAAAGCCACATTGGCTTTTTGTGAAAAACCATCTTCATTTTTAGGTAATGTCAAATCAACTTCATATTGTGAATTAAGTTTTTTATTTTCTTTTATTATATGATTGTTTTAATTTCACAATAAGATATGATTATCTTATTTTATAAAAGTTATCTATAACCGAAGTGTAATTGTATTATATATAGCTCCGTATAAAAGCGAGTCTTGAGCATAACAAAATTATGACCCGGCATCGGTACAACATACCATATTTCAGACAAATGTGTAGTTTCATTTCAACTTATGCACTTGACATCCTTTTCAAAGAACATGAGTTGTGCAAATCGTTTTTGAAAATTATGGATGTCAAATACATTTAAGTTATGAGCCAACATGTGCATATGAACAAGCTATATTATTAACAAAACTCATCATATATTGTTCCATTCAATAGATAAATTTTTGGAAAAAAAAATGATTTATTAGATTGCAAATCGTTAAAAGATGACGATTTTGGTTGTGATGTTGAGCTAAATATGTTTAATGCTCACTTCAATAAACAATCAAGGCTTGGTAAGCTAACTTTAAGTAAGGAAGTTAATAAACATGATTGTGCCATCAACAACTTTGGTTTGTGAACCTATTGCTCACAAAACTACTTATAGAGCACTCTTCTTCAAAGTAAATGGGGTCTAATTTGTTTGATCTAAACCAAGAACTGAATTAGCATAACACATACTCAGTTGGGTTCAACTTATTCTTTAACTACAAATAATTGATGCATAGCTCATACTTACACCAAAAATAAGTAATGTATAATTCATATCCATTGATGAAATTCTAAATAAATTTCATCAATACATCACACACATATAAATAAATAATTGTATTGATATGATATTAAGAAAAACTTTATACCAAAACGTAAATAAAAAACCAACCTAAATAATGATTTGAGATTTGTATTTATCGTTAGAAATAAAAAATTATGATAAAATTTTAAGTAAGTCCTAAAATAATAATGATAAAAAATTAACATCTTAAACTAACAAAGGTATAAAATTAGATTTCAATATATAAAGAATAAAAGTTCAAATCTTCATACAAATGTAAGGAATAAAAATAAAGTTTATTAAAATAAACTATTTATAAAAATCAAAACTTTAGGATTTATCATTTATGGTCACCATATCACCTCCATCAAATCCTTGTGTACACGAAATTATTATCGTGCAAATAAAACTACCTACAAGGACTAATGAGTGACATGTTCTATATAAAATAATAGTTTATACTGGATCAACATAATATATGATGGATCCACATCTTTAATATGGAATTATAATTTATGATGGATTGACATCATTGATAAGGAATGACAATCGATGGTGAACCAACATTCTAATAAAAAAAATGGTAATTAATGGTGGACTATCATCATAAATATGAAATGACTTTTCATGTTAGATTGACATGTTTTATATGAAGTAACAAATTGTCAATTCATATTGGATCGACATCTTTAATCTGAAATGACAGTTCATGGTGGAACGACATCATAAATATGAAATTGTAAATACGTCTAAATTTCTAAACACCGCCGTCTTTTTATCAACCACAATACTTTAATCACATAATGTCGAATTAATCATCATCATATTCTTTATCTTAGCCATCTGAAAAAGTTGGTTAATAGTTTCTTGATGATTCTTACTTCAAGGTTATGAAATTAGTTATTGAATTACAAAAACAGGAACCAATTGGCGAAGTTTCTTCGTAAAGTAAAAAAGCCAAAAGAAATCGTGAAGTCAGAGCTCAACATCTATACGGAAACTATTTTGATGTTAATCAGAACAAATTCCAAATGGAAAGACGTTAATTTCATTGCATAGTTGATGGGGGTATATTTGTTTTTATAAGCTAAAATCAACTTAAAACATTATTTCTTTTAATGATCTACAATAACTGTGCAACGCATCGTAAATGTATTCAATGGACCCAATTATAATTATAACTAGGGGTTAGCATTTGACCCAATTGAATCAAAACCTAAACAGTTCGCATAACGCAGCCAGGTATCGATTCTCAATTTTGGGTTTAATCGGTTCCAAGTTTTAGCCGGTTTGTTGCCACCAGTTTCGGGTAAAGAATCAAGACTGACCCGGAAGGTGTTTGTACTAATATGTCGTCTTCTTTAAACTGTTATAACTTTTTTATTTGAATTCGGAATAACATAATTTTTTCCAGTATAGTTTATGGTTTGATATCAAAGATGAATTTATGTTTCAACATTGATTTTACATTTATACTTCATTTTAGACAAATAAATATTTTTTTTTATGTTTTTTGGTTGATTTTGTATCATTCTAATCATTTATGCTCAAAGTATTAAGTAGTTGTACCAACTACATGAAAACATGTACCTGTTGTTCCAACCGTGTAGTTGACCATAAAACTATGAACATGACCGGTGTGATCTAACCGGTCCGGTTATCAGTTCTCATTATCTGTCTAAATCGGTTTTGATTCCAAACCAAGTTCACCGGTTGCTCACCCCAAATTATAACAAATGTCAAAAGAACTGCTAGTCTAATGATATTGGAGTGAAGATGACCGACAAAACATGTTAGCCAGTAGGAGTTGAACAGAAGGTGTTTTATAAATAGTTGATATTTTCTTTACTACAGATGTATGATCTATCTATATATAGGTTTTGTTGTTCATTTTTGAAAAACTTATTAATAGTTGATGTATTAGAGAAGTAGAAGCCATATGCACACAATAATAATTTAATTTAGAAAAAACTTCATAAATGGTCGGAATCCTTAATTCTGAAGTTTAGTCCCTACGTTTAAAAAATCTCACAAATGATTCATATGGTTTCAAAATTTTTAACAAAAGGTCCTTATTGCTCACTCCATTAAGTTATGTCCGTTAATTAAAGGACATTTCCATCATTTCACTATCATAAGGACCATTTATGAAGTCTTTTGTTATTTAAATAACGAAAAAATAAAATATAATTATTTAATATAGAAAGAGTCCCACCCACCATATATATATATATATATATATATATATATATAATATATATATATAAATCTCATCAAACCCATCTTTTTTTTTGTGTCTGTCAGCTTCCCTTTTGCTTCTACTCTCTTCTCCCCTTTCTTGATTAAGCTTTTTGACAACAATAACAAGACCAGTTCTAGGATTAATAGTCTCATCGATCCAACCCTTGAAAACCGATTAAAAATCGTCTTCTCCCAGGCACACTATCCAACCAGATTAGGTCGATTTCATCGAGATGAAGCTCGATTGGACCCACGGAATGAAATTGGTTATCCCAAATTAGGTCGACTATAAGCATGAAGTTATGCAACTTGAAAACCATTTTTTGCTTCAATATTCTTCATCGTGATACACTTCATCGGCTTCTTCAATCTAAGAATGAATACAAAGCAATGATTACACGTGGTTGGGGTCGAATGGTGGGAGGTTGCAGTCGGTGGGACTCCACCGCCAATAGAGGTAATCAGAATTTGGATGGCCGTTTTTCATACAGTTTTGATGCAATTCGATGGTGTGCAGGTGTGGTTGGTGTAGCTTGGACCGGTTGCATCCCTAATCCATTCTTCGATGAATACGTCACATTGGAGATGATGGCAATTTTCTGGCATCATCTCCATCAATGAAGCCGGAAATCTGAATCGAACTTGAGAAATAAACGCAAAAACAAAATCCGATAAGAATCAACTTTCATCTTCTTCATTGTGAGTTTTGGAGGCGAGATAATACAAACATCAACAGAACATCAAATTCAAAGCTTTCTATCTCTAAAAGAGAGACCCTTTCTATATTAAATAATTATATTTTCTTTTTTCTTTTTTTAAATAACAAAAGACTTCATAAACGATCGAAATAATGGAAATACCCTTTGGTTAACAAACATAACTTAACTGAGTGAACAATAAGGACCTTTTGTTAAAAGTTTTGAAACCATAGGGACTATCTGTGGACTACATTTCAGATTTCCGATACCACAGGGACCATTTATGAAGTTTTTTTTAATTTAATTTCCTTGTGAATAAAACCATTTACAAGGTTTTAATAATAAAAATATAGAAAGAAAAGCGTACCCAGCAGTAAAATCTAAAATGTAAGTTTTTACAGTGCACAAAGTCGAAGAAAGTAACTCATAGTGATAGTGATAGGATAGGATAGGATAGGATAGGCCAAAATCTTGTTATGTACTGCTTGCTTTAGAGTTTTGAGTTTACCAAATCACCCCAACACAAAGTCAAACCAACCCACAGTCAAAAATGAATAACACCACCAACCAACCAATCCATAAATCGTATCATAATCATAATCATAATTAATAATAAAAGAGAATAGACATAGACACATCGTCCTTCCTTGAAATACTTGTTTACATTCTTCTTCTAGTTGTATATTTTAACCGCCTTCTCATATGTGTGACGGTTCTGCACACATCAACCAAAAAAACATAACTTATTTTTGCTGCTTTTAAACAATACAGCACATGCCCCCACTAATATTATGGATGGAAGGAAAACCATATCAAACTTCGAACTTATTATTACCTGGTTAGCTGTGAATGGCCTTTTCGGAGTCGTATCTGGGTGTTCCAATCCAAGGTACTGCTCCCATGCGCCATAAACATCTTTTCTCTAAACAAATTATTTATTAACAAACAAACTAATATTAACCATATATGTGTATCAATTAAAATAAAAAAGACAGCGTAGAAATGATAATCAAAAATGAACCTGGAAACGGCTAGACACAATGTCGGAATCTTCAAGATACTCGGGTCGTCCGAGTGATAAAAACGCAAACTTCCACTA